GAAAGTGGCAAGATTAGTAGTTCATCTTAAGTATCAATGAAACTAAAAGGACTGTCCTGAGCATCAATCTCTCACTCTAGTTCAATGCTCAGTAACTCTGTGATATGAACATGCTGTTCAGCTTTCTCGTTTCAAAAGTCCTACAACCTATGCTGCTGGGACTTTTTAAAAATGTCAATGGGTACGTTCGGATTCTCCAAAAGTAATGTATTTTTGGAGAATCTGACACAGGTGCGGCATCGAAAGTAAAGAGTTAGCCTGCAACTGTGAATGAACATATTTGGACTGGTGGCTGTAAATATGTCAGGCTTTAATGCTAGAATATAAACATACATATTTTTATTACTGTGGAGGCATAGTATAAATCTCTTGGAACAGAACCTGCTTGCAAAACAGATAGTTAGGGTAGTGCTTCGAGGGGGTTTCCCAATTTCTAGAAGTATTTTCTGCCCTTATGTGTGGGAACATTTAGCCTAAGACCGTTAATGTTCCGAGTATGCAGATATTTTTTTTGTGGTCTCAGTATCTCCACATCATGGAGTGGTATTTCTCCTAAAAAGTTGAGATTGATACTCTGGGAAGTGCCCTTTTGCTTTATACACTGAAACAATGATGTGGATTTTATTATTTTTTCACTATTTCAAAAATGAGGGTTTGTTACTTTTTACCTTATCAGAGAACAAAAATAAACGAGACTTTCTTTCTTGTAAAGTGATATCTAAACCATAAAATTTGATGACGTGATTTCACTGTGAAGCAACTATATCATATAATATATGTTAAGAGTTTACTTATGTTTTTGACATATCTGTATAGACAGATTTACTTATGATGTGACATGTACTATCACTGAGAGTTCTCTATTTGCAGTACACTCCTGCTATTGATATTTGGAGCATAGGATGCATATTTGCAGAAATGCTCACTGGAAAACCATTATTTCCTGGAAAGAATGTAGTGCATCAATTAGACCTTATGACTGATTTGCTGGGAACACCTCCTCCTGAAACCATTGCAAAGGTTAATTCGCTTATTACATACTTCTCTTTCTTTGTTAATGTTCAATCAGATTAGCATCACTTGGATGATAAGATGTCTTCATTACTTGCTAGTAAGAACATCAGAGAACAAAGGTTAAGACAAAAAGAATAGTTGCTGAGAGGTCCCTGTAAATCACGTTGTATGTCCCACTCTAGTTTTTCCTGTTTTACTAAAGAAATTCTACTGAACTGGCAGATTAGAAATGAAAAGGCAAGAAGATACCTCGGTAACATGCGGAAAAAACCACCAGTTCCATATGCACAAAAGTTTCCACATGCGGATCCTTTGGCTTTGCGCCTACTTGAACGCATTCTTGCATTTGACCCTAAAGATCGACCATCTGCAGAGGAGGTAATTGTTTAAAGTGAATAAGTTTTTATATTGTTCTATCTACCAAAGAAAATCTTGACTCTGATAATGTGACAAGACTTCGACTCATCATTGGTGGTTTTGGTTTCAAGGCTCTGGCTGATCCTTATTTCCGTAGTTTGTCGAATGTGGACCGTGAACCATCTACTCACCCAATATCAAAGCTTGAGTTTGAATTTGAGAGGAGAAAGTTGGCAAAAGAAGATGTTAGAGAGCTCATTTATCGGGAGGTACAGTTTTCTCCATTTTGATGGCTCCCTTTTATGTGGAATGAATTTACTGATTAATTTCTAAATTTGTTCTGAGTAAACAGATTTTGGAATATCATCCTCAGATGCTTCAGGAGTATCATCGTGGCGGAGATCAGACTAGTGGGTTTATGTACCCAAGGTTAGGAGACACCTAAATCTTGCTCCACATAATTTATGTTCTTTTCTAATAACTTTTTTCAGCCTCATTTCCTTGCATTAAAAGCTGATTGTTTAGTTTAGTTAGATCAAAAAATTGCTTGTCTTTTAGTTTCCTCCAGTGGTTGAAAACTATAATGTATCTTTGGAGGGCATTGACAACTCTTTCCAAAATGGAAGTAACCTCAAGTTAATATACAAAAGCATTTTCTTTCCTTCAAGGGCTGTGCCAGCTAATTCACAAAATATATGTTGTGTTAGTGTGTAATGTGTTGTGCAAATGTATCTGCTTGACTGCTCCTACTTTGTGTACATATTGCAATAAATGTTTTGACTACTCTTTGAGAAATACTTTTTGATGGTCTTTCTTTTGTGTCAATTTAGTGGTGTTGATCGGTTCAAGCGTCAATTTGCACATCTTGAGGAGCATTATGGTAAAGGTGAACGAAGCACTCCACTTCAGAGGCAGCATGCTTCCTTGCCTAGGTGTGAACTCTGTACTATTCTTTTGCTCTGGGTGGTAAAGGCCGTTCTTCAATAATAATCTGCTGAATTAGAAGTCATCTGTCTTGTCCGATTTAAGCAGTCCTTATTTTAGTTCCAGTTCTGAGAGACACCATTTCAATTTAAGCCGTCCTTATTTTTGTGCACTTATTTGATAAATGATTGTTTCTAAACAGAAATGTTGTAGGTTGATGCGATTTACTTTAAAAGCTGCGTGTGTTTCCTGAACAAGGTTAATTTTGAGTACATAGCAAGTGCTTTAGGAAATCTGATTTTGTGGTTATAGGCTACAACTTTAGTCATGGAATTAACTTTGTCTGTTTTTGAATACTCTCATCTTAGAGAGCGGGTTCCTGCACCAAAAGATGAAACCTCTTCCCAGAACATTGATTTTGAAAAACGAACTTCAACATCTGTTGCTTCAACTCTAGAGAGCCCACCAGGGCAGTCCGAGGGATCAGAGTACTCAGATGCTAATGTGCAAAATGGACCAAACAAAGCAAACTATAGTGCTCGTAGCTTGCTGAAGAGTGCTAGTATCAGTGCTTCAAAGTGCGTCGTAGTTAAAAGAAGAAATGCAGAGGTAACTTCTACCCCTTTTCTCTTTGTTGAATATCAATGACATTCAATCATTCAGCCATGAAAAAATGTTTTCATGTAAAAGGAAAAAAGACGCCATTCCAATAATGAAAACTCAATAGAATGCCTGCTAATGTCCTTGCTTAAAACCAAAATGCCAATTGTTCCTGCATTTTTTTTGTCATTTTATTGATCTAAAAGGTTGGCATTATATAAATGTTCTGATAGGAAGAGGCAATTAAAGAACAAACCGACGGTGTTGATGGTTTAGCTCAAAAACTTGCTGATCTTCATGGCTAATTTATTACCAGCATACTCTGTAGATCTGATCACCAGCCATTGACCCTTCCATTGGGGTAAGATGCTTACATCACACCCACTTCATGCACGGGGCTCCCCTTCGATAGTTTTGACATTCTTGATCATGTACTCTATTATGTATCTCCTTGTCCTGTAAATCATAAGCTTTTTTGTACTACAAATAGTTGAAGTTTACTACGGCATTTCAGGCAGAATGCCAACAGTTAGGTTTTCAGTTGCTATTTGTACTGTGAATTTTTATTTCACATAGCAGGAAAAGAAAATGTTCTCCAGCTATTTGTGGATGAGATTACATTTTCATATTCATTTGTAAACTATAGTTACTTGTGACAAGTTGAAGTTTGTAATGACTTGAAGAATACAATGCCTAAGATCTATCCCTTGAGGGATATTGTTCTTTCTTATGAACTTTTGTTCACTTTATTGGGAAAATTCACTCATTTCCTTGCAGTAAACAACAACTACCCTCCAGTCCTAGTTGAGCTGATTTCGAAGCCAATTTGTGCAGTGGCAAATTCATAAATCTCTAGCAGTGTAACTTTTTTTTGAGACAAAGACAAGATAATTGAAGAGAGTGTGGATTTTCAGATGAAGTGGGGTAAATATATGTGATATAGAGGCTCGTGAGGAACTCCAATTATTGAGTTTATTGCTCTTCCAAAAGAGTAAGGACCATGTGATCTGCTTTTCCTCTTATGTCATGTCATTTTCCATGTTATACGACAAATGCATTTTTCGTTCAAACTTATTAACGTGGTAAACTGGAACTAATATGAAATTTATGACATTATGGTTAAGAATGGAGTTGCTTTTGGTATAAAGCGTTTTACTCGGACTTCCAAGTGTGAATCTGATTTGAGGTTTTGAAAAATGTGTATTGGCTAGCAAATTAGTGACATAGACATTGGAGGATGTTGAGAGGCCATTGATGAATAAGAGAAGTATATATATCTATCAATTAAATAGCAGGTCATAATCATATTATTACTACACAAAACATCTTGTTTCTTCACTTATTTTTTTCATTCCTTTTTTGTGGTTGTTAACTTGTTACAAGTCAAAGATACGGATCCATCACTAGCAAATGTTTCAAATAGAAAAAATCAATTCCCTTTCATGTTTAAAAATTTCATACTAGTACATGTAAAAAGCAAGTAGTATTAAAGTAACCAGCTGCTTTCACTTGCATGTCATTCAACATGAATTTGCAAATGATGACCAAATAGTATAAGTAGTTGACACAGTTTCATTGTTGCTTTAAAGCATATTATAATCATACACATACTAAGCCTTACAAGAGTAACAAATAAACAAACAAACTTTGTCCAACCTGCCATACCCCACATTACTCAGCCATTAGCTTCCCATTCAGTCCCTTCCTTCCAAACCATTCTTCGACTCATTCAGAATTTGAAATTTATAAGTTGAATTTTAAACTAATAATTTATTCATATTTAGCGAATTTCATACAACAAACATCGAGTTTAAATCAATAATACTAATCCAGTAAAACCGATTGTCAAGCTATACATCCGTATTCGTATGTGAATGAAAAAATTCTTAGCAAGGAGTGGTTTACCCTCTTTTGTAAATTTATCTGACTTGGAATATAAAATTAATCAAATAATGAGTTTCGAATATTAGACACACACAAACAAACAAAATAAAAAATCTAAGAGTACTGTTGTAACTACTCCCTCATCACCACCACCACAAACCAAAGGGAAAAATAAGCTACCATTTATAATCAATGGCTTCTCACTGAACTTCCATTTATAATCTTCCAACTTCCTTCATTTCTCTAATTATAAGCTATGTCCCTTAACTGTTTTTCCTTCTTCTTGTTTACAGTTGTTTACATCACCAATCTAACTGTAATACCTGCCTTTCCAGTTATACCCGAACCCGACCCGACGGAACCCAATCCCCACCCATTCTCCCCAGCCCCTTCACTGCCAGCAACAATCCCTGCTTTCCCAGAACAATCAAACTTCGAAAGCTGTTCTCTAGACATACCAGAGGAGCTTTACAAAGGGATAAAATCATCCTGCAGGTCCAACGATCATTCGGGTCAAATAAACCCGACCCGTTGCTGCCCGGTTCTCGCAGCATGGCTCTATGCAGCCTACTCGAGAACCGCGCTGCACAGAGCCATTGCAAAGTTCCCACAATACTCAACCTCTGTTGAAATGCCTGTGCTCCCTGATGATTCAGAGACGTGTGTGGATTCTTTTGGAAAGGCTTTGGAAAACAGGGGAATTGAGTTGGTGAAGCCAAATGAGACTTGCGATGTGGTTTATTGTTATTGTGGTATTAGGCTGCATCCACTTAGGTGTCCTGAAAATTTCGCGGTGAATTCGCGCGGAGAATTGATTGGTGGTGAGAGTGTGAAGAGATTAGAGAGAGATTGTTTTAGCAGTAATGGATATGCTGGTATTGCTGGTTGCTCCAAATGCTTGAACACTCTTTATTTGGTAAGTCTTGTATTTAGTAACAGAGGAAAACAGAGTACATAAGTTGTTGTAACATGTTAAAATAGTCTGATACATTTTATGTATATACAGTAGACGTTGAATCCTCTTGCCTTTTTCGTATGATTGCTTCTTTATATTTTGAATCCTCTCGATGAAAATCCTGGTTATGCCACTCTTGTAGCGTGTCGGTATAGTCTAGGGGTCAATTGTTCAAAGGACTAAAGAAGTTGCTTACTTGTGGAGGGGACTGGAAAGTTGTTTTTAAATTGAATTATGGTGTGTTTGGGTTGATAACTTGAGATATAATATCAATCAACTATACTTCAATCCAAAGCTAGTTGAGTCAGGTTATACTAATTATTTAGGAGACATCTTTATTGACTATTTGTATGCTAATATTCAAGCTTCCATAACACATAATCCTCTTTCTTTATTTAGATTTAAGACTGGTTTTGGGTAATGTTAGTAGATTAACGAAAGAAGTTAGAAGAGAATTGAGGCATGTTGTGTTTACTCTAGTACAATATGTTCTAAAACTAATGGCAAACAAAGTCTTATGTTCGTCTGCCACTCGCTTCCCTATCAGACATTTTTTATACAATACACGTTTATATGCTAACCTTGTGATTCATTAAGCTGTATAATGTACCACGATTTCTGTGCAAGTGTGTACACTAGACATAGAAGATAGGTGATCAGTAGATATCACCAGCAGTTTGTCTTAGGTAGTCAAACAATCATGAATAAAAGAGTTATCTGATATAGATGGCATTGATAAATGTTACCTAAAGTGATTTCTTCACATGGCGACCTCTGACTGATCAGTCGTTTTAAGGTTAGTATCCTACTCATGACCGTGTGGAGATGCTCTTCTTCTAATTTTTATGCCTTCTTTACTTCCTGTGGTGTAGATAATCAAAATTTTATCTTGCAACTTGTTTTTGGGGCTGACAAATGAATAAGAAAAAAAGTTATCAAGTCTCATTGGAAATATTGGAGCCTGATCCACACAATGTACCTTTAGATGGTTCTATATAACAATTAGATTTCCAGGAAAGCAATATGCCAAAGTTAAGCTTCGCTGATACTTGGCTGGATCGTCTATGTTAGGTGGGATACGATTCAATTATTTGACAATAAACTTACTTAGTCCATATGTTATTGTCCTGTGCTTAGATCAGTTGTCTCCTTTTATTCATTTTGCCTGTAAACTTGCAATGTTCATTTAACCTTGGGGTCAACAGCTGCTCATAATTTCTTCTAGGAGGCATGTTAAAGAGGGTATTTTGTCAATAACGACCGAGCATATATGTCTTATCTGAGTTACAAGTGAAATATTTTATTTATTGTCTAATAAGTTGATGTTAATCTGCAGCTCAGTGACAGCAGATTGGAAGATACAAGCACAACAAATGATAGAAGTAGCAAACTGCACAGCATGGGTTGCCAAATGATGGGCTTAACTTGGCTTCTCAACAAAAATACATCTGGTTACATTCATACAGTTTCTGCTGTTTTAAGGGCTCTAATGATGAGTGAAGACGGTTCGAATCCTCAGTCATGCACACTTAACAGTGACGGCTTGCCACTTGCAGTCGACTCCTCAGAGATCAACGATCAATCTTATGCGACTTTTCTTCAGGCATCGGTTTATTGTTACCTCCTAGTTTTTGTTTTGGCATACATAAACTTCACTGCATAACTGTTTTCAAAATTTTGCTGTAGTTAATCTCCAAAAGACTTGTTCTGTGTACTCGGAAAATACTTCCTGATTCAAATGTCACCTAGAGTAAATACATTCCTCTGTATTCATTGATTCAGGTTCATGAAATTGTAATTATTTTGGTTGTGTGAGACTGTTGAAAAATGAATGGAGCTTCCATTTGTAAGAGTTAAGACTAACATATTTTTAGCGGCAATTAATTAACGAAATAACTTAATTGCTGCTAAAAACATATTTTTAATGTCATTTAACACTCTTTGTAAATGTCCCTAAAGTCTATAGCGACATTGGATCCAATGACAATTAACTAATGGTGATAAAGGCTTTATCATTCTTTATTTAATATGTATATATATTTATTGTTGCTAAAAACTATTTTCGTTCTAGTGCATGCATACTCATAATTTTATTAAGTAGCTCTTAATTTGTAAGACTAAACATGCATACTTATTAAATAATTGAAATTTTAAAAGGGATAGTTTAAAATATATCCGCAGTTAAGTAATTAGTTTACAACAAATATAGTCATGTTTTACGGTTAAAAGTCATACAAAGTATACCATGACGATACAATATAGCTTACATATACATGAATTATACAATGCTTATATATTATGATATATTCAAAAAACTGAATGTAGCTTAACTATATATATATACTCACTATACATGAAGAGTATTATTCAATTTCAATCAACTCAAAATCACTTCTAAACAATCCCCAATTTTAGGTATGAAATCTTCTTGACGTTTCGAGTCTTTTAATATATAATTTGCTCGAAACGATTCATGCTTGTGGTATATCAAATTTTTAAATCAAGGCGGCTTTGAAACTTTAAATCTGCCCTTTTTGAATACCTCTATAACAACTTAAAGTTGAGAAGTCAAGCAAAATCAAGAACCCCACCAGATACAACTAGTAAAGGGTATGAACATCTATTTCTTGATGAGAATCGAGTCATGGATCATAACAAATGTTTATTACTAAGAGAGATTGTAGTTAGAAACTATGTTGCTTGGACTCTTTAAAAATGACGATGGGTACATGTTTGATTCTTTAAAAGTAGTGCCTTTTTAGAGAATTTGACAGAGGTACAACATCAACTTTAGAGAGTCCAAGCTACATAGGCTAATAGTCAAAAATATCTATCTTAGTTGTTCTAACTATCAAAGAAAAGAAGAAGAAGATGCAGGACAAAAAGACACCATTTAAGAAAAAAGAATAAGCGGAATGACTATTTTAGGTAAATTTTGTTAATTAGGCTAAAAAGATGATAAGTTAAGTTTATGCGCTGATATTTTACATAATTTGTCAAAATAAAAAGTACACATAAGTCATCTAAGTCCTAAATGAAAACTTATTTCTATCAAGTCTATTTTACTCCATAAAAGCCCACAAAAGGTTAAAGCACAACAACCCAACTCAAAAAGTCTTTTTTTTCGAACAGTCTCAACGTTCTCGACTCCTCATTGAGATTCACTTTACAAGACATTGGTAATCTCTGCATGATCTTCGAACCAGTAGTATTAGCGCCTAAATTGCAAACAGTGTCAAATTAATGAGATTATAAGGTGCTAATGGGCCTCAGGAGAAGTTGGGTCTTTCATGTATTCAAACAACCCGAAATTCAGTACCCAGACCCGTTTGCCTGCACTCTAAAAAACCCTAAAAAAATTTCTCATATAAATACGTCCGCTTAAAACCCTAGAGTTTTCTCTGCATTTTCATCTCCGCCTCTCCATTCTCTGCCACCAAAGGTGATTTCTCTGACGGCCGCCACCAATCCGACAAAATGTCGCAAGAATCACTAGTCCTCCGCGGCACCATGAAAGCCCACACTGACTGGGTCACTGCTATTGCAACCCCAATTGACAACTCCGACATGATTGTCACCTCCTCCAGGGATAAGTCCATCATCGTCTGGTCTTTGACTAAAGACGGTTCACAATACGGTGTCCCTCGCCGCCGCCTTACCGGACACGGCCATTTCGTTGAAGATGTCGTGTTGTCGTCTGACGGCATGTTTGCACTCTCCGGTTCATGGGACGGTGAGCTCCGTTTATGGGATCTTCAAGCTGGAACCACTGCTCGTCGTTTCGTTGGACACACTAAAGATGTTCTCTCCGTTGCTTTCTCTGTTGACAACCGTCAGATTGTCTCTGCTTCCCGTGACAAGACCATCAAGCTCTGGAACACACTCGGTGAGTGCAAGTACACAATTCAGGAACAGGATTCACACTCTGATTGGGTTTCTTGTGTCCGTTTTAGCCCAAATAATCTTCAGCCCACTATTGTTTCTGGTTCATGGGATCGCACTGTGAAAATCTGGAATCTTACCAACTGTAAGCTCAGGTCCACTCTTGCGGGACACAGTGGGTATGTGAATACTGTGGCCGTGTCTCCAGATGGTTCGTTGTGTGCTAGCGGAGGGAAAGATGGAGTCATATTGCTATGGGATTTGGCTGAAGGAAAGAAACTGTACTCTCTTGATGCTGGCTCCATTATCCACACCCTCTGTTTTAGCCCGAATAGGTATTGGCTATGTGCTGCTACTGAATCTAGTATCAAGATTTGGGATTTGGAGAGCAAAAGCGTCGTGGTTGATCTTAAAGTTGATCTGAAACAAGAGAGTGAAATGTTCGGAACTGCTGCTACCGATTCCAAAACCAAGGTTTGTTATCTTTCAAATATCCTAGCTTTTATTCTATTTTGTGTCAATCAATAATCATCAATCAATTATTATATCAGCTACTTTTGTACTCATTCAAATACTAAGAAAATGATTTAAAAATTATCTTCTAAGGGAACTTTTCTATCACGGGAAATGATTACCAGTACATATGGAAAATCATAAACTGGTTAGGACAATATAGGATACTTGTAGCTTTTGCTGTGTGGGATTTGCTGTTAACTTTTTATTCTGAGTTTTGGTGCCATGAGAAGCTTTGTAGTGAAACATTGCAGGATATGGAGTTTTTCAGTCACTTGTTTTTGTTTGTGGTCAGGAAATTGCAGTTGTAAACTATTGTTGTCCGAATATAGATTTTTTGTAGTATTGATGTTCTGATTTTCAAGTTGTCAATGAAAGGCTGGAAGTTCAGAGACACGGTAATAGTCTAAATGATATTGCATGTCACATTGAAGTGGGGTGGGTGAAATGATGGGGTCTGGTGCGATAAGAATGTGTGACCAAAGGTCAATTTTACAGAGTGGTGGTTAAACCAATATTGTTTAGTTGGGTAGTGTTAGCCAGTCAAGAATTGTGTGGGCATGTTCAAGAGAGATATGATTAATAACGAAGTTAAACAGGGCAATGTAAGAGTGGGTCCTGTGGCAGACAAGATGAGAGAAATGAGCTTATAATGGTTTGGGCATAAGAATAAGAGGCAGATGATCTAGTAAAGAGATGAACCCTAATAGTAGTTAGGAGAGGTAGGATGAAAAATAACATGGGGAGGTGGTTAGACATGACATGAAACATGGCCCTAGCTAGTTAGGGTTGAAGGGTAGTAGGTGGCTGATTGTTGTCACACATTATGGGGGAGAGGCGGGGGTGGCCTCCTTCTCCTCTCTTCTCCTCATTAGTAGTATTATCTAGTAGTCACGTTGTCTCTTATTCTTCAATTTGTATTACTGTTTGGTGCTTCATTTGCGTTCTGTCTTACTATTTTGCTGTCATATTTTTCTTGTAATCCTACTTTCAAAGCATTTGTTTTGAGCTAAGAGTCTATCAGAAACAACCTCACTTACCTCAGTAAGACGGGGTAAGGTTTGTGTATTCTTCCCACTCAGTCCCAACTTGTGAGATTACATTGGGTATGTTGTTATTGTATTGATCTGTGTAATTTGTCACTTGTTGTGTCCTGAAGATTTCCTTCTCTTTTTGGTAGATCAAGCATATTTTTGTGCTGCTAATTGTACACTGTCTCTGCAATGATAGAATTAATATGCCTCTGAATTGTAAAGACATATTTGCTCCTATAGTTTTTCAGTATTCGAGTCTGCAACTTTGTACTGGACTGTGCTTCTGTTGACCCAGTTACTGTAATGTGATATTTCCATTGTTGTGATGTGAATGGTGAATCTAAATATAATTGCATCTAAATTGGCAGGTCATATACTGCACCAGTTTGAGCTGGAGTGCTGATGGAAGCACACTTTTCAGTGGCTATACAGATGGTCTGATTAGAGTTTGGGGAATTGGGCGTTACTAGGGAAGAAGAGGATCCAGGGGAGCCATTTGGCCATACTGAATTAAAGTCATTTAAATTTCGAAGATTCTCCCTGTGTTTCATTGTTATGAGGCCTCAACTGTTTCAATTTTGGATTCTTATTTAGTGCGTATTTGTTACATTGGATATCTGTCTTGCTATAAATCTTAAGTTGTTTTGCTTAATCTTTCGGGTATTGGAGTTTCTTGCTTGTTGTTTACCTCCATCTTCATCAAATCTTCACTTCATCTGTGTGTCTCTTTGCTTGATGATTTTGTATGGTGAAAAGGAGAAGTGATCTCGCATTTTCCCAGCCTTTGTTTCCTTGCCCAATTAACTTGCTTTAGTCACGTCTTTATGCTATAAACTTCTTCCGTGTTTTAGATAAGGATAATTTTCTCTAAATTTTATCTCTGCATTGAAAATGGGTAAGCCCGTGATGAATTTTCAGAAGTACACCATGGAAATGACCAACATGACACAATTTTGGAGTACTTGAGTGAACTTTTATTTTGTTGCTAAAAATTCATAACGTATTATATAGGAAATGGAGTGAGTTTGGTAGTATAATATGTGATAAATAAAATGAACCCCATTGAGCATTTATTTTCTCAACGTGGTATCAACATTGTATAAAGTAGAAATGGGAAGAAATGATTGACATGAACTGTTGTTGATGCAAGTCGCTTCACCTTCACAACATGAAAAAATATAAAAAATACAGAATTGATTACAAGAATGAAAATAAATCAAATGGCAAAAGTATAGTCGCTTTGAGGACCTTCAAAACACGAAAAAGGTATAAAAAATACAAAATTGATTACAAGAATGATAATTATTTTTATAAAAAATACAGAATTAATTACAAGAATGATAATAAATCAATTTGTAGAGCAAACCTTCACACGCTAAATCGATACAAAATGTCAAATGTGAATTACTATCCTTAGAATTTGCTAAG